TTCTGCATGCACACTACACCGGTCGTATTCCGTCCTACGTCTCCATGAGCTCACTTTGCAAACGTATGCTTGTCGGGGATTGTGCGAACGCGTGTTCTCCATCTGTATAGCTGCCTCAAGATAGACCGGGGATGCTCTTTGACAAAATCTCTTACATTCGGCTCACCTCATTCTCTATATCAGATGTTCTCTGCTCCTTTCTGTCCCGTTTTGGTCGCTTTCCTTCCGACATTTTTCTTTGATTTTGACCACGGTCATATTTGTGGTAATGCGATTTTGAACAGCTGAGTTTCCACCGCAGTTTAGTCGGACTCATACAAATCAATAAGTCTGAATGCCACTGGCACCAGCTCGAGTTGTGTACCCACCTACTTACCTGCCTTTCCCTTTCATCACTCACCCTTATGGGCAAGACTGGAAGGCCTGGGGGCCCACGCCCATTCGTCATTGTGAACGTCTACTCCGGTTAACGCATAGCGGAGCTCTTTGCTGTTGCCGGTAAGTGTGATCACCACTTCTTCCCTTGACATTTCTTGCAGTACGGCGCAAAGATGCGACATGCCTACCCGGCACGCATTGATCATCGGTATGTGACGCTTGTAGCGCTGTGGAGGGATTGCGATTTTAGTGAATTTAAGTTATCGGCTCTTGAGTTGCGTCGATTTGCGACTGCGTACCGCTGAAATTGACGATAAGTCTTTTCTTCTTAGTGGTACTTGACTTTCAGTCGTGCCACAGCGGTAATTTATCCTTCTGAGTTGGAATAGCGTTAAACCCAGTGTGCAATCCTTGAGCAATGAGATACATCATTTCTACTCAACGCATATGACGTCGTATTGTCATCATGTGTCTGCAACCCTGTCACAAGTTGCTTCCGCTTTCAACAACACCTTCCGGGAATGCTCTCCCATCGGTCACGTGTTCAGACTGGTCTGTTGCCACACCTCTCTCGTTTAAGTCTACGTTTTACTTGCAGCTGTTCACTGCATGAATCGTGTGCAACCGTGTCCACTGCCGTTCCGAGCCTTGGTATAGCAACATTCTTCAACTGGTCACACTCCTCTCCTCACTCTGGTAGTCGAGGATTCGGTCGCTTTGGGAAACACATGGTCATCGGAATGCCTGCCCATGGAGTGATAGGTCGGGATTACCACAGTCACCCTAACCTGATCGTCTATGACAGGGGTCATCATACTTTGTTTACTGCGGACCGGATTACCAACAACCTGACGACTGCGGGCCAGATTACATTTCTGTACACTACTCGCGGGCCTAAACACAAGATTTTAACAAAAACGAATAAACTATGTTCACAATTTCACATTCACCATGGCTGAGGCGTGTCATGTACATATAAACATAAAACCATCAATGTATTTATTAACTTAAAAATTATCAATGGCACACGCACAACAATAGTTAGTGCATACATCTGGCTGACACAAAGTAAACCGCAGAATTATTAGTGCGATTTCTGAAACTGAACATTGGCTTTCGAAATATCATCAATGCTTGCATCCGTTCAGCCCGTTCGATGAGTTGACTTCGCATACTTCATTTTGCGGATCTTTGCTCACTACCAGAAATGTGGTGTTCGTACAGATTAATACGCCACAAAACTACTTGTTTATATGTCGCTTGAATCATTGACAAAGACAATCGCACAAAAGCCACGGCACACCGCACTGTGCCTGGGTGAACCGGACGACCGCGTGGGTCGCACGCAAACCAACATGCAAGCATGTGTATGGGGTCAAGCGGGGTTATAGGATAAGTGCCAAACATTACCTAGCTTACCGTGCGAAGTGCAGCATAGCGGTGCGGACGGCTGCTGTAAGTAACACGCTTAGTATCTCTCAAACTAAAATGCCATGTGACATAAAGGAGCCAAACATGGCTGCGGTGCGGCGATGATGTCACATGAACACTTCCAGAGTGGGGTCATACAACGAAACGATGGAAAGTGCATTTGTACGAAGACCGTAAACGCAGTTAGAACGGGCGTGTGAATTATTTGGGTGCTCAAATACGAGTACCATTGGCAGGCCGCATTAACCTGCTTTGCGGACCGTAGTTTGATGACCCCTGGTACTAATGTTCAAAACTGATAGTTTGGCCAAACATTGAAGTGTCATGTTACCCGACTTCTGGGTTCTATCCACTCTTCTCTTGCGTCTCGTATCGAATTCAGGCGATTGGCCAACTCGTGGTCAGTGTTGGGCGATCTTAGATTCGACTAAGTTTTTAGTCCAACAATATTTTTCATTGAATGACTAATAACAGTGGAGGATTTTGCAGACAATCGTTTGTTTCTCATTATTTTTCATTAGGATGCGGTTTCTAAAATAGTTGCTCGATAACCGTTTGCTTATCAACGGTAGTGGATAACGAAGGCGAACATCAGTTGGATGACTAGGCTTTTTGTAGTCCGTACCCAACCGAGCCGCCTGGCGCTTTGTGTGATCCATGGGAGCTCTATGGGGCTTCATTTCAGTCACTCATTGGATCGTTAGCAGCTTGATAGCAAGTGAAAATGTCACATAATCGCGATGTGAGACAAATTTCTTCTGTCCCTATTCCGCACAAAACAAGTTGACAGCTCCGGAATTCAGTCATGTATTGCATCAGCTATCAAGATGGCTGAATCTGGTGGCCCCGAGTGATGTCCTATGACTTTCACCACTTGGCTCCGTCTCGGAGCCTCTTTGAAACGTCCTATTATTATACTCAACAATACCCTTGTATTGTACGTGTGATGTTTTGACATATGGCATAGGTAATAAAATGACCCCATCCATCCGTAAATAAGGTAACAGAAGTGATTGATTCGTCCTACCTTCAGTAAGCTTATTGGTAGACACCATCTTTTCCGTGCTCTTTGTGGGCTGACCACCGTTGTATTCTCATCTCATCTAGGTCAAATCGTGTGTTATCTTTCAGTTACTTTAATTAACTCTTCACTATCGCCGTTTGGTGCATATTTGGGCGTTTTGGTTCTACTAAACCGCTCCACCACATCCCTCCCATCATTATGACCCTTTTCATCTCTCTTCTTTTCAACTCACCTTTCCGATCTTCTCTTCTTGCCTGCAGTTTTTTATTGCACACTTCTGTGGTGATCCTGAGAGGTTGCATTACACCCTTTTGTCGGTCGTGTTCGTTGTTAACAGTTTCCCCAGGATAGTTGATAATTTTAGCTGCCCACTGTTTGGTTGCTGACATCACTGATGGAGGAAATTCAAATGATGCAAGGTATAAACCCTGGCCACTACTCGTATGGACAGCCGTTTCTCTTTTATTTGGCGCGCTATCCCTCTTCGATTGGGTTGGTTAGTTGTGATCAAACCGGTTGTGAGCATTTGTCTGTTATGTTACCATTATATACACCCTCAGTGATTTCTTATTGTTATAGGACGTAAGGCAGAATTTTCTCAATTATACCTTGTTGTCAAGCGATACCGCCCGATTTCCAATAGTCTGCCCATGATCAGAGTACGCTAATCACGAAGGAATCAGTTTGATCTGCGTCGGAGGCTGGTGGCCTCCGTCGTGCTTGATGGACTGGTTGACACTCGTGAAGGTCAGTTTGACGAACAGATGGCAGTCGTCATAACTGAGACCACACTGAACGTTGTTGGACTGCGATCGTGCATATTGGCGGTCCACCTTAGTCATGTTTCTGGATGTCAGAGATGTCTTCGATTCGGTGGATCGGTGTATGCTTTTTGACTGCCTGATTAGGAAAATTGTGCCCGAGAAATGCGTAAACATTATAAGAGCACTTTACACATGTTGCTCACATAGACTGAGGACTTATGACAAGATGTCGTCGCCCTTCAATATCTCCACTGATGTGAGACATGGATGCTCTTTATCATCCTTTCTTTACAATTTCGCCATTCACGAAGTTATAAAAACTGCGTTCACCGGACTCGACTTAGAAAATGTGGAGTTGCTTCCACTTGATGGATTGCTTAATTCTGAATATGCGGAATATTTCGCCATAATATGTGACAGCCTGCAAACTAGCGTTTGATGATTTGAAACTGACTGTTGATCGTCTTGGATTATGTTTTGCGCCCTCGAAACACATAGCTGTCCTCCATGATTGATAAGTACCAACCTCTGCCGGAGCAACCATATCAGCTTCTGTGGAATAGAGAATCGGGTCACAAACTGAATAGCAGAAGCTTTTGTTACCTTTCGCCCCTAATGTCGCCGGCACCACATTCCTCTCGCCCAGAAGAGTACAGTCTACAATACTGCCATTGTTCATCTCTACTGTATGATCATAAAGCCCGGCCCATTCGATCTGACGGAACACCACGTGAGCAATAGACGTCTTCGGAGCCTTGTTTTTCACGCAGGAATACCAAGTAAACCCCTCATCAGTGTTATTTTACGCCCTAGGCACTGATGGTTGGGTGACGTGTTACGTCTACCATCCACCAATTCATGTGATTTGCGTTGTTTGCGCGACGGTTGTCATCGGTAGAAGAAGAGATTGGCGTGTTGCATATGGCTTTGTCAAAGAGAAATGACGGTCCTCCCTTCGAACGTGGCCTCAGTGGGTGTCTGTCTACTAGCGATTGGTATCTGAAAGATGTACACTTTTGCTTCAAGAACCTTGTTGACGTAGCCAGGAAACGACCCAATGGTGTTGTGAGTTTCCTTCCTCCCTCCTGCTTTTCTCTTCCACCACGTTTACCTTTGTGATGCATTGCAAAGCAGACGCAGTCATTTTGTTGTTCTCTTTTACTGATATCTAATTGATTTACATGGTAGCATAATAGCTGTTGTGTTAATGACTTGTAGAATGCTAATCAATCAACAACTCTTCCTGGCGTCCTTGATTATCCGGTTTTCATCTTTTTGTAGCTTAATCTAGGTTATCGCTTAGCTCTCTTCTCACGTGTACTTGTTCACTCGCTTGCTTGCGATTTGGATATCACAATATCTGATTTCCGCCGCCCCTCGTTCATTCGATCTTCCTCTCTCAGATGGCTAAATCTACTGTGAACGACGTGATGCCATCCATTTATTCAAAAATCAAAACCCGCTCCTTCGATTGGCGTACGTTGCATTCTCCTTCTTTCCTCCCGGACTTCATGCTTCAATCTCCGTCCGATGTAGGTAACGGTTGTCGGGACAACTGCGAACAGCTTTTGCTGTTGGCCAGTCCACCTCCGGATGATGGCCTCGTGAGTCAAGTGAACGGGGATAACCTCGCCAGGGGACAACTTCGCAGACCAATGAATACAGACCTATCGGGCAACCTAAAGAAACAAACGGTTGGTGCTGGATCCGACGCGGTTGCTATCCAGTCAGCTACCACAGATGCATCCGCCGATTGTAATCAACTTTCTGGTGATTTATCTGGTGCGTCTGTCGCGCTTAGTTCTGTTGAGCAAACTGCGTCCGTTTTGCCTCCAGATTTTCGATTCGTGTGTTTTCAACCTATTTCCGCCCAGCGTTGGTTCTTAACTATTTTCTAGTACAACGAGAGTATCTCACTCTTCTGATCCTTGTTTTTCTTCGTCTTTGGTACATCTTACTGTGCAACCAGAAACATTATTTTGACATAACGCGGCTCGATCTTCCTCTATCTACTCGTCACTATCTAGCACACGAGGTGGTAACTCTCGAGCAAAAACTTCTCGAATGTACGCGACCACTCAACCCAAGGCATTAGGAGTAGTTTTTGGGCACAGTGCTGATTTAAAGGTGGTGGTGGTGGTGATAGAGGGAATTAAGCGATGTAAATTAAATTCGAGTTGTGTCATTTTAGATCCCATTTTGCTGTACTGAATATACTTTATCTTCTGATTGCTCAGTATTCTTCTCCGGTTATCCCCTCGGAGACGGGCTTTGGGTCTGCATACTCATCATTATGTCATCATCGGATCACACCTGGAAGGGCGTGTTAGTGGTCTTTTGTTCCCCTTTCTCCAATCGCATAGGGAACTTAATGGCTTGGTGACTGTGTGCAGTTAACCTCTAGATTAGCGCAGTCACCCGTGATTTTGTCATTTACCCGTTTGACTCGAAATCAATTTTGGGACGTGAATGGTCGACGATCCGCGTGGTCGATATGAGTCTAGGCAACGTCAGTTCCTGAGTGTCTCTCAACTTTCAAGGGTTCTGCCTTACTTCCTCAACCGAGACTCTTCTTTGCTTTTCATAATTGTCTACCGCTTTCCAACCATTTTGAGAATGGTCGGTACTGACCACCACTCTACACCAACAGAGTGAACTATCGATATCACGAATAGGTCTTCTTCTACGGTCGATTCACCATCTACTTTGCAACGTTTTAGCACGCTCAATGCTTGTTTTGATAACGTTGGTTGCTTTCGGGGTCTTACACCGAAACATGTAGACAGTCGTTTCAGTCTGGTCCAATTTACTTACCCAGTTGTTACGACTAGTGTCACCATAACGATAACTAGCATCAGTAGACGAAGGTAGAATAACATGTAGCAATAAGGTCAGAAGAATTTTATGCTGGTCAGAATGAATCGGAAATATTCTCTAACCACCGACAGGGCTGGTCCTGAGGTCCCCACCCTGGCGACCTCTCGTGCCCGTATGCTCCAACCTTTCTGTCAATCTCACACTGTTTGCTGTGTCATACTCAACCTTCTGCTGACCGCGTAAGTAGTAACAGACGATATATGCCTAGTCGTGCAGTCCTCAGGCATGAGGAAAGCGCGACCTAGCCGATGTAGGTGATTTAAGCTCAAAGGACGATTTAATGCAACCCGGGCGAATTTGGTGCCTGAACATCAACTGACGAACATCAGCATTTCACAATCGGGGCACAACTTCACAGGCACTGATCTTCAAAGCGGATCACTTCATCCGTACGAACATACCAATTGCACAGTGGCTTCATAGACCCTACCTTTGATCGTTCACCAGTCTGTGCACGGACAAAGAAGTCTGGCGGATTCCGAGGGCTCGTAAGCTAAGTGAGACTACAGTGGTGACCAACTCCTGTAGACATTCGCTCAACCTGCTCCGGGAACTCATTTGTCATTTGTACTGATTAGTAACAGCACTGACACCCCAAATTCACGATAAGAAAGGCCCATCTGGGCTCATTGGGTCGGACACTTTCGGAAAAAGTTCCATTGGACCCTAACCCTTGAGCCGCTTCGTGCTTAGACGACAGGGCACCTCAAGGCCTAATGGTTTATAGGCTTTAATTGAATTTGCTGTTACAAACCCAATGACAGCCCTTAATCACCCACTCTGTCGATCCAGCTTTTTTTACTTGAGTTGTTTAAGGAGCTTCTGTAAAGACCCATCCCATTTGTTCGAATAGTTATGAAAAGCGGAGATTGTCCAGTCCCGTCAGAACAAATCGATCATAGTGCCAATGTACAAAACACCTAGTAGCAGCATCCACACCAACTACATTGGTATCAGGTTACCGTCAACAGCGACAAAATTACCGGCATATTTTCTCGTATGCCGCTTTAACGTGTGGGTGAAAGCAAACTAAGCGTGTCTCCGTTCAGGACGCACGTAATTTCTGATGATCTTGCAATTTCAACCTGTGAATTTAACTGTGATGCGGATTCTGGGTGCACTTTTGTAGCGTGGCTCAAACGCTGGGAGGTCATGTTCCGGATGGATTTCTGTCTTCAGGATGACTCTTGGAAATTGCGGTTACTTCTTCGCGAGATTGGCACCAATGAACACTCAAGGTTCATTTCTCACATACTTTCAAAACAATCGAGGAACATTACTTCTAATGAGGCCGTTTCGGATACGTCTGAGGTGCCTGGTGAGCCCTGGTCACTACTGTATTCATCTTCAGTGTCTGAATATTGTCAAACGTGATGCAACCGATTACGGAGCATTAGCAGACACTGTTCACCATTGAATGCGAACGTTCCAACTTGTGCTGTCTGACGGATGACCAACTCGAGTGCCCGACTTTTATCTGTGCTCTGCACTCACCGTACATTGCTACAAACGACTGCTCTGCGAACTGGATCGGGACCCGGACATGACACTGAATGCAATCACAACTGGATGTATGCGGATTCTGTACTTAACACACGACACGGGTCAACCAAAAAGTGTTCATGCAGCAGAATGCACCACACAAGTCTGCTCAGAAGTCACATAACCGATCGCATACTGGTTGTACGGGGAGCGTGGCATTTTGCTCAGTTGTGCCCATACAAGAGGCATATATGTCAAGGGTTCCACAGATGCGGCCATTAGGAAGAATTTTGCCGTCATTCCCGATTCCTGAGCGTTAAGACGTTCCACCAAAAGAAGAAGACTGGCACTGAATCCCTATCACTCGTTGCAGCTTTTTACGATGGCTTTGAGCTCCGTCTACGATACTCATCCCCGGGATTCCATCGAAACTGCAGTTTGGCAGTCTTTGATATACTTATCATTTCCAGGATCACTTGGAGTCACATCAAGATGCCGACTATTGGCTCTAAATGTATCTGACGTAGCTTTGAATTCGGTCAGAGACATCAACTGTAATATCGCATTTAATGGAGTTGTAAAGAACACAGTCTGCTGCTTGTCAGATTGACCGAGCTTGTAGCTTCTCGGACTTGGCTGGGTTGAGAAGCTAAGTCTATTGAACGTGCAGCTGAATGAAATCTGTAATTGAGTTTCTGCTAAGTCACTTCCTCTATGGAAGGCTGTCGAAGACATAACATGCTCTTTGAAAGGAAGGCGAATAGTGCGCTCCGTCTATCTTTGTTGTACTCACGCCAGTCTCAGGGAACTTGTTCTGTCTAATAATTCTAAAAATGAGACTAGATTTTAACCATCTGCACGAAATAACGCCGCACTCATACAAAGACGGAGTCAGTGCTAACCTGTGAGTACCGGAATGATCCTACATCATGGATACCAGGCAGGATCAGACGCATACCTGGAAATGTCCTATATGAGGTGCTTGTAGGTTCCCCGACCTGGGTCGGTCACACAAATCAGCTGCGACCGGCGCTGTTCCAGTCTGAGTAGAAGAAGGCATTGTAATTATCTTTTAACCTACTGGTGGAACCCCTTAACTTGCCAAGATGTCCCAGGGGAAGCTACAGTTGACCAAACGATGAAACCATCATCCAAAACCGCGGAAGCAAGCTAAAACTACTCTAGCCGGGAAGACTGACTGACAGACGCAGAACCCATCCTACAATGCTGCAGGTTAACTCCAGTCTGTTGTCCTACAATGCCGCTGCCATTTTAAGGGTTGAGGTTGTAGCGCTTGTACCTCTCATCATTTCAGGTGTGCTTTCCTATTCCTATTCGCATCATTTATTTCGCAATTTGTTTCGGTCCAGTCAATCGACACACTTCTTCGAATTTGCTTCCGCGTTGTCGCTCTGGTCTCTTCTGCTTGCGTCTTTGTGGTGCTTGTTCGACGTTATGATCTTCGCCTAAACAGCTCGGAACTATCGCCTTGATCGAGCTACGTCATTTACAGGATCATAGCGCTAGTTTGAGAATTACTCAAATTCGGAAATCAACCGAGGGTCAGCGACTGTTGCTTCCCAAATCCAGTGGGTCCAGAGTAACTTTTTTCCTATTAGCTTATTCCTTACAAGGTGTTCGGAAGAAACGCTAGAGTTACCGAGTAACATACAAGCCATGGAGGCCTGGGGTTGCTCTCTAATACGCGCAACGCTATGTTGGTTGGATTAAACACTTGATTGGGCCGCTATGGCACTATTTGAACCGACTTACCGTACCTGATCCATCAATACGACCAGTGTTTTGAACTTTGCTCAGTATTATGTTCGTTGGCTGCGCGATTAATGCTTTATTCTGTTCAATGTCTTTGACTTCAGATCTTCTCGACTGGAGGAGAGATGTTTTGCGCGAGTGGAATGATCTAACCATGTATGTGCAACTACCGTAAGCAAGAGCTGGGGCGTTGTTCCCCGCTATACTGTATTGGCCAACTATGTGCATTTGGCGGACAAATCCGCTAACATCATCCTATGTGCCATTTCGTGACGAGCAGTGAATAGTTATTACCTAGTGTCCTGCACACTAAGTGGCTGTGATATTTACCATAACAGAGGGTGCCGACTCGCGTGTCAATTGTCCTTGCGTAGGCGCTGCGCCGGACCACAGTGTGTAAGCCACCAGTCAGTTAACGTCCCGCTCCCTGCAACTGCATGCAGATCGGTAAGTGCAAACTGTCGTTAATTCCTTGACCGTTTCACATTTGATGCGTTGCTCTCCCGCAAGGGTTCATGCGACACACCGCACATTACACTAACTATGCCGATATTCGTGTCGTCATCCAGGTTAATGGGGCCGTACCCGCAAAGACGAGTGACAGACAACTCGATCATACTCACCGTTATGTAACGCCTCGTGCGCTGCTCGCATTGTCCAATGATTTCGCGTGCGGAGGCACCGTATAGAACACATCACCCATAGATGGGCAGTATCTGCAGTGTTACCCACAGGATCTCCATATACAACCCACCCGCGATTACGCGTAGCAACCGGTGGACACGGACAGTACCGCTCGAGTTTGACGGGCATGCTTCCAAGGTTACGTGGTTCAACCGATCGTTGCTGACCTTGAGTGTCGAATGCGGCACCACCGAAAGCGCAAACAATCTGCGCCGCCCGCCACGATGCCACAAGTGGGTCCGGGTTCAAGAGCAATGTGGCACCTTATGCCGTATGCTCGTCCGACATGCTTTTGACTAAGTTTGGATTGGATACTCAACCAACAGTACACACCTCTGTGCGTTCACCCACACTGGACGCATTTTGATCTAGGAACGAGCTGTCTTGTGTAGTCTGGGAGGGAAGCTAATTTACTCAAAGTCGAATCTGATGGCGCTATGAAGGCGATTGACTGAGAAAAGACGATAATTGTTCTCGGAAACTTTAACAGGACGGATTTCCCCGCGACCATGCACCATCATCCTAATCTTTTGTTAGTTGCTCAAAGTTTGTCAACTGTATATAAGATTTAGCAGTATTTACGTCACTTTTATTTTAACTCACTTGGTTTTCATATAGGCTGTTTATTGCCCCCATCACACGAACTTCCTCTTTATCCCTCTAGGGTGTCAACCGATCTATTTCCATTGGTTACGGTTAATTGATCGTCTTGTCTACGCTGCACCCAGTCCCTCATTCTGCAGTCCGGAGTCCACTGGCCGAGTGTTGTCAACTCAGGCTCAGCTTGGAGTCCGATTGGAGCATTACCTGCTTCCTCATGGACTGTGCATTCCTCAAACCTCGATAACTCACTTGCCGAATCCACCTGCTCTGGTCCTTCCTCCGTCTGGAATTGGCCTAGAGCGGGTGATTGAGCTGGTGCACACCTTCTGCCCTGAGGTGAAAGCCCTTGCAACCAGTCTCCCAAGCGATCAGCTTCATCGTGCTTCACTACCCAACTTGTCCACTCCAATGGCCATACTGCTACTGCGTGCACTCGATGTTCGTCGCAACGCGATGATGCTAGACACAAGCAAGCAAGAGTCGGTTACACCACCGATGGGTGAGTGTTGTTTATAAGCAGAGAAGCCATCCTAGCCTCACCCCATTGCCATTCTGCCGTTTTGGCTTAGGAAGGACTGTTAATTTTTGCCAGCCGCCATCCAGAGGATCGAAACTGGTCAAACCATACATCCTTTAACTAAGGTCCGCTTCTCATTATCGTTCTTTTTACTTCATGCTCAGCTGAAAAGGCCATCGATTTTACCGCTTGTGGTTATCCGACACAGTTGGCCCTCATTACGTTCATCATACAATACACACCATAAGCATTCTTTATTTTTGAGTGGTTCAGTTCAACTGGTAAGATTTGCGTTGTTGTGAATGAGTATTTTCGCTCTTATGCACTCTACATGTATGGCTTCTAGATAAAATTGGCTTCCTTGGACCATTGACAGCTCGTTGATTCCCGTCGTTGATACTTTTTCATGTGGCTTGTTTGAGATGTCTTCCATGCTTCATTCACCATCACAGGTTTCTTCGGGTTTATCTGTGGGACTTCTCACAACCTAATCGGTTTGTGCGACGTTCTGATGCATCAGTTCAAATGCACGGCCACCTTCCAGTAGAACGGACATCTCAGTCAAAGTGCCCGGTGCATCGTCTCTTTTCTACTAAACTTTTCTATCACCGCGTATTTATGTTCACAAGCTTCCCTTTCTCCCTCACATTGCAGACAACTCACTGGATTCCCCCGATCAGTTCAACGAAGAATACCAGCTCCTCTTACCCTGTCCCAAACTGGTTCTCGGTCTGCTCATGGGCTTGGAAGCCACTTGGGCAGGTCCGCTAGCGCCGCGAATACCCATCTCTGACTCAATTCGCTATCTTGAGGCCAACGATGGACGCTACGCTCAAGGCATCTTCCCGGTCAAGTCTTCACGCGATGTTTATTTTTCGCTGGCCAGGAGGGTACGTTTCCGTTTGCAGTGTGTAGTGCTATCAGCACTGTATTTTTTGGAACGTTTCGCTCATTTGCCACATGATAGGGGTTCTATGACCCGTTGTTCTGACAGTTGCTTCTTGGCTTTTCTGTCTATGGTGGTCGACAGAACGAATTTCCATCGGTTTCGCGTCAGGATCCGCTCGCGTCCGAAGCAGTCTGCTGCAGCGAGGTATCGAATTCCCATAAACTAGAATCGCTATACTTAAGGTAATCCTAGTTCTGAACAGAACGTGACTGGCAGCAGCATACTATGGATTTAAATAGCATTGTGATTTTGAGTGGTCACGGGATGTCCACGCCTACATGGTGACCGAAGGTATCTGGCTGTACGCCTCTCGTACAGCCCATATCCAGCGTTATTCGGAGAATTAAATCCGAGAACATTCACCTGGAAACCACGAGTGATTTGAGGTCTACTCACTTTCCGCCAACACTGTGAACTCCAGGTTAGAAGAAGTTTGTGTTTTTGAGAAGGTTCGTCCCCGAAGTGGTGGCTCACATTCTCTACCGCTCTGTTTCACTGGCCTTATATGTCAGTCATTGCACTTGGGAGAGATACTTACACCTGTAAGTGAACCATGAATTTTTACACGGATTAAGAACCAAAACTTTACATGTCCCGTTGTGTGGTTTTGCAGGGTTATCGAAAAATAAAAGTAGTGGGTTATTTACGTCTAAAAGAGGGGCTTAACGTTTGTTTCGCCATGGTTCTTCGATTCGTGTAGTTTCACAGCACAAACATGTAACAGCAAATATATCCAAATTATATTCCGGGAGTGGGATGGAAATGTAGTACAAGGTAACAAAGTGTAGGTGAGTAAGTGAGCCATCCAAACGTCTTTTAAAGTTGCTTAGTGATTGTGCAGAAATGACCGAATCCGGAAGATCATTCCACGAATGGCACATGCGGACGGAAAAGAAATTCCTGTGGCAATCCAGATAGCTTTACTGTTCTGCCAGTTTTAGTGAATGACCTCTCAACTTGATATTACTGCTGAGTTGCAGTAAGGAGCGGCACACATGATATGGATCGTGCAAAATTAAGTCCACTATTATCAAGTCACCTCGTAAGCGGAGGTAACATCCGCTGAATACCCCCAATCCTTCCAGCCTCTCCTCGTATGGAAGATGATGCGTTCCAATAACGTACTTTGATGCCCGGCGTTGAGGAGGCTCCATGGGTGCCAGGCTTGAATTGTATGTTCGACATGAGGACGAACATACGCACTAAGCATTTGCCGAAGATTAGAGCGATTTATTTGTCCGAACGCCTGTCGTAACAAGCCCACATGTTGGCTACCAGCTTTTGAGGCTTTCGCGGATTGCCTGGAACAACCCAGATCATCCTGAACCAGTACGGCCAAATCACGTTCGGTTTTTGCTCTCTGCAATACATGCGTTCCGAGCCTGTAACAGTGGTTGCTCTGCTGTCATATGGAGAGTACCTTCCATTTACTCACATTGAATTGCATTGTATTTTCGATGGACCACTGATGTGCCGTGTCTAGATCACTCTGAAGCACTTGTTAGTCAATATTCCCTAGAACCTTGCGCCAAATCTTAACGTCATCGGCAAACAGCATGAAGTTAGTTGTAATGGCCTGTGTGAAGTCATTAACAAGTCTGAAAAACAATCGGAGACCTAACACCGAGCCTAGAGGTACATCACATTCAACTTGTATGGGTTCAGAGGAGGAGCTCCCAACTCTGATCATTAGTTGCTGCTGAAGGAGATAGTTGGCGATCCAGCTTCGAAAGGGGTCACCAATTCCGTAACGCTGTAGCTTGAGAAGGAGTATCCGATGATCTAGACGGTCAGATGTTTTCTAGCAATCCAGGTAGACCACATCAACCTTCTCTCCAGCGTCAACTGACTGGGTCCAGCTACTTCGTGCTATTAGCATATTCCTCTTGCACGATCGATTTCGACGGAAGCCGTGCTGCTCTAAAATGATAATGTTAGACCTTTCCAAATAGTCCACTAGTTCATCGGCTATGATGGATTCCATCACCTTGGACAGTATAACGAGAAGGGAAACTTGACGGTAGTTTGAAGCCTCGGTTCTGCTTCCACCTTTGTGAATTAGTGTCAATATTCCAAGCTTCCACATGGTAGGAACTTGGTTCTGGTCTAAGCAGTGCTGGAAGAACTGAGCCAGTGGCTCTGCCAGTTGACTTGCTGCTGCTCCCACTGCCTCTGAGCGAATAGTATCGACACCCGGGGATTTGTGCTTGCGTAGAGTAGTCATCTCCGGTGGTAAAGGAGATGTGAGTGAGCCCCGGTGGTGGGGTGATAAAAGCTGTAGGATCTCCTGATTGTAATACCCTCTGGGAGGTGGGGGGCATACTGCATCCGCAGCGCGTTTACTGCTTCCGTAGCCGTTCGTGTTGGGCCATCAGCCGTCATGAGTGGCGGAACTCCTTGCTTCACCTCCCGTAGACTATTGACGTGCTTATACAGTAGTCTGTGATTGGCGCTGAAGGTATTCGCCACCTTCTGCTGATGCGCGGTTTTGTCCTCTCTGAGCAGTTGAGTGCAGTGGTTTCTTTGGGCTACGTAGTTATCCCAGCTTTCTGGTGTTGGAGATAATCTATACTCTCGCCACCCTGCGTTGCGTACTACCAGCAATTTTCGAGTTCTGCTCCTTACGTAAGTAACTGTTTCAGACCGTTTGTAATCTGTTGTCTCTGAAGCCAGCCGATTAAATTTGTTTACGAACTCGAGGAGGGTCTTCGGCGAGGAACGACCGAGTTGCACTGATGAGTTGGGCTAATCGGTCGTAGCATGTGATGGTTCGCGCCTGTCTCATGGCCAGCATCTCGGATCCCGCAGAGCAGATGAAGTTGAAACTAATAATTGCATGATAACTGCGACCTAACGGGCAATGTACAAACAGCGCATCAATCATATGTTCTTCGTTGGTAAGCACAAGATCAAGCACAGATGCCTGTTACCTGTTCTGAACTGAGTAGGGGAAGTGACATGGTTATTAAGCGGAACACTGGTTACTAGCTCCTGCAGATCGGCTTTAAATTGTTCTCCGCTCGTTGCAGGGGTTTCCAGACAATGCACATTGGAATCACCCATGGTCAAGATGTGAGTGTATCTTCCTTTTAGAGTTCACCGTAGGACAATTGCAATTTGCTAGTCCGTTTCAGATGTAGAGTTAGGGGGACGGTGCACCAAGGCTATAAGGCAAGTGTCTCTGCCTCTTAACTGCAGGCGGCATCAACGCTAATCAGAAATCAGTGAATCTGAATCCTCTATGACCTCGCACTGTAAGTCGCTTCGGTAATACAGAATTACGCCTCCTCCTTTTGTCAGTCTGTCGTTCCGAATGAGTGACATGCCAGGTAGTGAAATTTCAGCGTCCGTCATTTCAGTGTGTAACCACGTCTCCGTGATGCCGATGATATCAAATTTCTGGGAAACTTAGCGATCTTTCAGTTCGGTCAGCTTATTGAAGAGGCCCTAAGCATTTGTGTACAAGCGGGCTAGTTTATTGGTCTCTAGTAGATCACAGAGGGTCAAGGAAGTCGGGTGTGTGGGAGTGCCGACTGATGTGAGGTCGGCCATTATTCGTCTTTTTTGAAATACCGATACTCCTTCCATACCTTGCTCTGGCCAAGGTGCTTCCCAACCCACATCTAGATCTACGTCTGTATCGGGTAAAGGAGCAATCATCGCCGGTACGACTCCTTTTTAGCTAATTTCATAACTGGACGTTGCGAAGCCTCTGCAGTCCTTAACCGAAGTTCTCATGGAAGACTTTTTTGTGCCACTATGTAACACATCCATCGCTGTTGCTCAGATTGAATCACGAGTTTTAGGATTCTCGGGCCGCATCCTCTATAAGTTGGTGAGAGAGGTACTCTTTTGAACGATCGCGCCACAACCTTATCCAAGGAAAGGGTTTCACGGATGAATCGCCATTGTTCTAAATCGTGATTTCGACCATTTGACTATGGTGGGAAGGAAGCTCTAGCACACCTTGAATGAAGATGGTGTTTGGGCGATCAGGCTTGTTGTTCTTTTTCGGAGTTTCTTTTCGACTGTCGCATACTCCACGAGACACCAGGATAGATATGTATCCCATCTGATCGATGCTGCAGCGCGTTTGCGGAGATCAGAACGTTTTTCACCTCAGTTGAGGATTCTCTCCAATAAGTCTCTAATAAGTCTGGGCTCTACAAACTGTGCAGAGTTCGGGTGACGAGTAATTCGTACTAAGTTTTTGGGTTTCGCTTTTATTTTCATCAGATAGCACAATGACTCCCATTGTTTTAGGTCGTCGGACAATTTACCCTGAAATGTGATAGCTGCTGATTCGGGTACGTTCGAGCACACAACAGTCAGGGCACTATTGTTAGATCCCTTTATTACTGAGCTGTAAGTTTGGGGGATCCTTTGTTCTGACTTGCTACCAAGTGATGATTGCTTAGTGTTTGTCTCTCTATCCAAGTTAGTGGTGTTTGTAACAGAATATACTGGAAGGGTGGCCTGTCGGATGCACTTTGAAGCAGTTGTATGGATGCTTGTCGCAATCATTTTATCTGACTCTCAACAATGACACCGATGAATTACTGATCCCACTGAACCGAGGTTTGCGGCCAATTAACTCACAGCACCGCGTGGGCGGCCGTGAGTCATTGTGCACATGTGCAATTACCGCGTTTGTGCCGGTCGTTTTCGGTGTCTCGTCGATTCACTCAAATGATGGTAGTGCCGACATAACCACGTCACCGTCAGCAGCCGACCGGCATTCCCTTCCATTCCCATCTGTTTTGGGGTGGTCACCTCTTTCTGGTCAACGCTTCGGGTTTATCGGATTTGTGTCCTCGGGATACTTGAGTTTGACTTCCCCAACAGATGCCACTTAGTTGAGGTTCCCACACGCTTCTTCAAACCCTTGCTCAGCTTATTTATATGATTGTGCTTCAAAGTACTCTTCACCCAATTGCCATAAAAATAAAACAACTAGCACTAATTGGGAAAGCCGAAGAAGGAAAATGTTAAACAAAAGTGCGGAACTTCAAAACGAAGGGAAGTCCATACGTTGTGGTTATTCTATCTAATTCTAGCGCACCGTTGATTTGATGACTGCGTATTGTCTGTACAGGTCTCTAACCACTGGAATGGCCAATCTGGTTAGTTCCATCCAGCTGGACGTCATGCACCGGCCCCTCCAAGCCAGTGTCTCCTTGCTCTTTCTCTCGCGTTAATTGCAAATAATACACAATGAGGCACACCTGCAAGCATCCGAAGAACGGTGCATCACCAGTGAGTTTGTTGTCAAGCAGCAACCAACATCTCTCCACCGGGTGGTCCTAACCGAGCATCTGGGGTCCAAGACGGCCAGTCCATCACTGTCATCAGCTTGCTGTGGAAATTTCTTTGACATATCTTCGTGCTACATATGATTCAATCTGTAATATGTATCGCTTTGTAGTGTGGCACACCGTGTCCTTAACCAATACACTCCTCCCAATTGTTCGCGACATGATAGAGGTCTTGCAACGCTACATGGACCCTACGTATCCGCTGTGTAATCTGTTCATTTATTTGATTGCTAGTTACTGGTATAGTTACCGAGAAATTGTTACGTGGTCGTGTTAATTGTCAGTATGCGATTGCACTTTGGATTTTCAGTGCAGAAACGAATATTTATCACCAGTAGCCAATGGCTTCATTTGGACGGCTTGTCGAACCCCGTCAGTCACGCCTAACATTTTCGCCAAGTGGTAACTGTGGCCCCGGCCTTTTTCTATAAATATACCATATTAAATTGCAGGGGTATCGTTGAGCGCGATCCCCTCATCCTCTGAAATCTGCTTTAGTGAGACTATCTGCGTTGTATCACGCGAGCTTCTGTTAACATGTCTGTCCTGCACGTAATCCATCACACAATTCGCACAACTCAAAGTGCCGACTTGCATACCTGTTGCAGTTAACTTTACCACTCAGGAAAGGTCATTGATAGACCACACAACGGTATACCTTGTTTCTATGCGGTCCTCTTCCAGACAGTGGAACTATGAACCACATCACTACCCTGAAGGTGGGACCTCCTGCTCACTGTTGAATTGTGGTCTGTACGGACAACTCTTCTCCCGGTACGCCCGTCTTCCGCTTTTCATTTCGAAAGGGTTCTCACTTGCACGATTCCCATATTTCTAGGATGTTGCATCTCAGCTTCGTGTTGCGAATTGCAACTACTCCCCTAAATATATAATCCTCAATCTAATGTGTCCACAAACGAATATCACGTAAGCGCTCATTTCGCCGCCTGCAGCCAGCTCGCACCTCACTAATGATGCCTTGTCTATTTGCTTCCCCTCATCGAATTCACCGTTCATTCCCTTTTCCTCAGCTCTCCGTCGATTATGGCCAACGTCGCGTCGATTGTCGTTCTGCCCTGTTCCGGTTAACGCAAGACTTATTGCTTTTGCTCGCTGATTCGTGCTATCGTCAAGACTACTGCGCAATGAAAAAACAGCTTGCTTCCCTTGGTGAAGAGATGGATGGTGTTTCGCCACCCGACCGGGTTCATTTTCCATTAGATCGACTTCTTCGTTGCCTCACTCCCCGCGAAATGGCCATTGTGTTATCGGACATCCGACGCAATCTTCGGCTTCGGATTGCGTTCGCCTGGGTGGGAGAGAACCGGCATCATTCCCCCGGTTCTGTCTCTGATTCTGTGTTGAGCCTGATCACCGCCGATCGCCTGCCACCACCACCGGCCTTCATCACTCCTGGCCTGCTACTCGCTATTCTACACGCTCATTTGATGGAACGTGGTGTTGCGGATATAGTGGGTCCGCTGTTACAAGGAGTCACTTTGCTACATCGCCTGTCACCTCCCATGGAACAATCTGTCACACCCGCGGACGCTATGTTGGAGGAAGTCGATGTGGACGGTGAATTGATGGTTGTTGTGAACGACTGATCCGATGTGCCGACATACTTATCCCAGTGTACACAGCCCCCTCCCTGATACAGACTCTTCGCATTCGCCGTCCGTCTTTCCTCTAGGCAAGCAGTTCGTCAGTTGGCCTCCTTCGGCCCGACAAATGTTATGCCGTGTTAATTCATATCCTTTATCCGGTTTTCCATGGCTTTATTGCCTTCTCTTTGCGCGTAATAGTCTGCGGGTCTGTATCAGCGATTTGTCACCGATAGACATTCGAAGATACGAATGATGGGGTGCGGCGTTTTTCATCTGCCCATCACAATACAATTCTTGGGATATGATAGCTCCGCTGAGACAGTCATATGCCCCTAACCTTCTCTTCCTTTCGGCTAACATCCCTCTATATGGGTCCCAGAGGAACCGTTCGCACGTGAGCGAGGTTAGAAAAGCGTTGGCGCTGGTCCCTACAGCGAGACAAGTGTTGTTACTGATTTCCCACGCTCTGAATTCAAATATGCGGCCAGATGCAGATGTTGTACATTTTGTGCTTTGTAACTTGATATATTTACCTTCAAGCGGAATACGGTTACAACTCGAGCGGCAGTCAGTTTGTAAGATTACTAAGTACTAGTCCGAGACGATGCACGTAATCGAGCGCGGATATCAGAAGGCAGTTGAAGTCGGACACAGCGGAGATATATTCGATGGGCTACAAAAGACGGGGACGGATTCAGCGGGACAAAAGCAAACGATAGCGCGACAACTCACAGAGCAGGCGAGTGACGGGTCGGATGCAAGAAAAATTAAGACAATGAAGAATAATGTACAATTGGTCAGCAATTAAATTGTGCATCAAAGGTTGTAGTTATTTTTTGAGCGCTACAAGTTGTAACGAATAGCACCGTGGTTTTTACACGCCCTGTTGCGTCACAGAGCTTATCGTAGCAAATAGGTAGCTCAGTTTCACTGCAAGCTTAAGTGGATTTGCGTACTTCTGCGTTTGCTTTCCTCTACCGCTGCTGTTTGTTGGTTTGTCTGGTCCATGTGTAGATCATTGCGTTCATCGACAGGATATTGGATGTCCGTGTGTCACTAATCTGTTGTCGGATATTGAGTCTAGTATGCGCACCACATAAAATGTCGAATTCAGTGCTCGAATGTGTCGGGTTACAGGTCATATGTATCGTAGTTCCAAGGGAATATGTATAACCTATCGCTATTTCATCCGTTGTGTTTTGGAATGCTTGATCATGTGTGCAGGTCGGTTGCTGGATGCTGTGGAACCTCGTGATTCCGCGTTGTGAGAAGTTGAGTAGATCATCAGTCCATCAAATAAGTTGTTTGGCTATGCTGAACTTGTACGCGAATCCGAGGGAGGGATAGGTAGGAAGGTCGACAATTTTATCTGGTTTGTTTGCATGTGTGTGGATAAACCATATGCTGCGACCTCAGTTCTGCCATTTCTGTAGCCTAAGATAACGAAATCTGCTGCATTCTCCAATGCCTTGTTTCTGCTTTGTACCTGTGAGAAACGTAAAAGAGAAAGTTAAGATGCGTATGGTTTTTGGTGCAAAGTGTGTTCGCCAGAGTGTGCCAATGTGATCGGTCAGGATCGCGTTCCCATACCGTCATCGAGCATGCAGTTGATTATGGATTCCTCTACCGATGTTGTATTCTGAAGTTTAACCAAGGAGACTCGAAACTGTGCAGTGTTACCCACTTTCCCAATATGCATTAGTAGGTTTAAAGGAAGTGGCTATATAAAGCGTTGCAAAATGTTTCGGTGCGTGGTGAAATGAAGCTTAGTCTCTAACGATTAGCAAGCGTTCTTATTTAGGCATCTGGAAAATCAGTATTTCTTATTAGGATTATTTTGTATTCAGAACAAGAGGATAGTTTATTTTTATTCTGCAACACCAAGAGGATCTAACCCGAGTGTTTTCCAACCACTCCGTGATCGGAGCTCGGAAAAGCTCGCGATCCTCTTTGTGCAGACTCATCGCACTTTATTACTCGCCATTCTATCAGATTTCTCGAACTGCTGTGCACTATGTGGTAATATTCCAAGGTCCTTGTTTTATAGTGCTCGATCCTAGCTTCCGTAAGTGTCATGGATCTAGAAATCCGGTCGGTGCGGGGTTTGATTTTCATAAGTAGCATGTTGAAAAGCCGCAATGAAGCGCGTACGAACGGTTACTGAGAAATTTCCAAGAGTTTTCCGGTCATCCAATAGTGATTGCTTGTTTACCGAAATCGCACGCACAAATGCACTAGCGTATGGCGCGCGCCTGCGGAGCAGTCATGTAGCTTTACTTCTTGGTGTGGATGCGCGCGACATGGCGGACAGACCTAGGCTACAATCAGGCGCAACACAAATTCCAATGAGGACCGCTCGTCGAGGGACAAACGGAGGCTAGCAGCTAGTGGACTGAGCGATAAGTAGTCGGAGCACACGGTAGACTTGGCTGGTAATTAGGGATGCATGCATTTTCAGTTGGCCTAAGTAAAGCGAGTCGTATTGGGATGATCGATAGGTAGACAGCGCTTAGTCAGTCTAACAGGCAAGGCAGTACAATTCTTGTCATTTGGTTATCGGATCATTGTCATATCAATAGAAGCGACCAACCTGGATCTGAGCAATGAATGTCCGATGCGCGCTTATTGCTATCACAGTTGATGACGAAACACAATAATGATCAACGCTGTCCTGGCCTCAAAACTCGCTTTCCACAAACAATTAGGTTTTACTCGGTTGCTTTTGTTGCAAAAGGGAGTCCTACTACTTGGAGCTCCTCTTTCTTTTAAGACCTATGGTACCCCAAAATGTAGCCGCCACTGCTTAGCAATTCCTCACGTTATCCTCTTGTTCGTCTTAGACAATGCTCTCAGCATTCACTCTGCCCCCGCGCACTACCGGTACAGTTTGCCAGTGCCTCAATTTAGTCGGCAATTAATTCGTTACGGAACATACCTATATTTACCTAAAATCGGTTTAACGGTCAAAAACATCACCGAAGTAGAAGTTCAGAATGCTCACCGTCGTTTTGCTTGCAGTGCAGAGGTCGCTTGATGTTATCGACTAGCACATTTTCCGATGTCTCCTCCGCGATACAGCAACCTTCGTTCAAAATGCTCCGTTTCAGTTACTCAAGAGAATTGGGCTGGGTTGCGTAAGCTCTACTTTTCTAGTAGCCCAATAGGAAGAAATTCAAGGGGTTCAAGTCCGGCGACCGGGCAGGCCACTCTATTGGCCTTTCCCGACCGATCCAACGGTGACCGAATGTCTCGTTGAGATAATAACGCACTGTTTGTGCATAATGTGCAGGTGCATCATCCTGTTGTCACCAAACGGTTCTCAATGCCTCTTCGGCCTCTAGCTGTGGAATGACGCAGGTCTGCAGCATTTTCTTCTCCGAAGGTGCTGGGAAAACTAATGCATTAGTACTGCAAAATATCAACCAACCGGTCACATTCCTGGAAATGAAAAACGGTTCCACGAATTTTTGACCAATTAACCTAGCACATACTGTAAGCTTTACGCTATGTTGCATGCGGGAAGCGCTGTGTCGTCGTGCATTACTTGTCCAAAAATGCTGCTTCATGCAAACGGAAAACCGACTCATCAGTAAAAATACTGGAGTGAATGTCCATGGTATTCAAAAACCACCGGCAAAATTCAAGCTACTTCGGAGGGCGGTGATTCAATATCTGAAGTGCATCATATCCCCGGAATATCTTTTAAAACCCTATGCACAGCATATGGGATGGTGTCGCAATGATGGGTTATCCTGCGAACACTGATATCGCTCATACTGGATACCTCACGAATAACCGCACAAGCTGTAATCATCCGTGGTGATGCGAGGCTGCCGGTTTGTCTGGCGTTGCACACACCCCCAGTTTCCTCAAACTTTTTCACCAGTCTAAGTACATACCGGCCGTTAACGGGCCGCATTGCAGCGTTGATAATGTTGTATGGTCGCGCAGTTTTTGCCGCATTTGACTCGCACCCATCATACCGCCGCGGAACGAGCACACGCTGATCAACAGGCACGTTACGTGATTCAGGTTGCGGATACGTCGGCTACTGGAGTGTATGCTCCTGCTCCATTGCTGAGGCAGTGATCCGATAACCAAATGACAAGAATTGTACTGTCTTGCCTGTTAGGCTGACTAAGCGCTGTCTACCTATCAACCATCCCAATACGACTCGCGTTGCTTAGACCAACTGAAAACGAATGCATCCCTCATTGCCAGCCAAGCCAACCGTGTGCTCCGTCTACTTATCACTCGTTCCACTAGCTACTGGCCTCCGTTTTTCCCTCGACGAGCGGTCCTCATTGGAATTTGTGTTGCGCCTGATTGTAACGTAGGTCTGTTCGCCACGCCAAGCGCACACCAAAAGATAATCATACGTGCTACATGATTGCTCCACAGGCGCGTGCCATACGCTAGTGCATTTGTGCGTGCGATTTCGGTAAACAAACATTCACTATTGGATGGCCGGAAAACTCTTGGAAATTTCTCGGTAACCGTTCGTACGCGCTTCATTGCGGCTTTTCAACATGCTACTTAAGAAAATCGGATCACATTTGTCGAATGTACCGTATGTCAGTCCGCAAGTGGTATGCGGTTTACTCTCAACGCATTATGATATACTTAGTCCTCGCGGGGCTATTGTTATTCGAGTATACTGTTGATGCCTTTCTATACGTCATCAGACAAGTGCGACTATTCGCAACAGCCCTTTGGTGTTTCTCTTCCTTGGCGCTTGCTTGGTTGCATCCTAGCCGCGCGAGCAGAAGTCATGTGCAGGTGAACCAGTTTTCCTGAATGAACCCCCGAGCTTCGGTGGATAGCTGAAAGGTAACGGGAAATCGGATAGAACTGACCCTCAGTGCAATAATGTCTTATGGTCGAACCATGATTGGCTTGGCAGCCGTGTGTATCTACTCGCTACAGCTCAGTGTAGCCAGATTTCTGCCTGGCCCCCAACTAAGATGCTTCTATTACTTGACGGGCAGCAGCAGGTTGTGATTTAAACTATCCTAAACGGGATCTGTACGAAGTGGGGATTTAGTGTGTAGGACACCGCAGCTTGGGTAGGCACTACGAATTCTATGCTTCAG